TGGCTTTTGGCTGTCAGCTGTGACTCTGTCTTAGCAAAGAGGCTTTCTGTGGGGTGGGAGCTGAGAGGAGGGGGCTGTGGAGATGAGAGCGTGCTTAAGGAAGCCTGTGGCTCAGTGTCGAAGTAGTGCTACACTGAAGCAGCCCTTGCTTTCCAGTTCCTGCAGAGTAGTACTGCAAAATCTACAGGGAAAAAGCCACCACAAGGGCTCAGGTGGTTTGCCTGTGGGAAGTGACAGAAAGCCTAGCTTCTTCCTTACTCCCTGCTCCCAAAGGACTCGTATGAGTAGTACCTGTCTGTGGCCTCCTGCTCTGCTTTGCACAAAGGCTTTTGATGTTATCTCTGGGAAGGAAGACCACTCTAGATGATACCCTTGTATTCTTTGCTTTCTTCTTCCCCTGGGCACTGTCCTCTGGGTAGTGCGACTGACAGAGAGGACAACAATGCGCTCTCGTGTGACTGCAAAGGCATCGTGGAGTCAGTGCTTGTGCCTTTGGTTCACCACTACACAACACTGGGCAATGCTGCCAGAGCCTTTTACTATCTTCTGGAGACTGCAGCTGCCTACCTGCATGTCTCCAACTACTACATGGTGAGTTGCTCTGCTTGCAGTGTGTCCTGCCTGGCTCTGGGCAAGACAAGTTTGCGTTGCACTAGAACATGACTTTGTGGGGCCTTGGAAGGAAGATGTTGAACTCTGAGCCTCGCTTTTTCCTTTGGTTTGCCTCTTGTGTGGGAAGAGACATTGGATGCTGTGCCCTTAGCATGAGGGGCATTAGCAGGGAGGAGGCCTGAAGGATCAGTGGTGCCTGTGCTCTGAGGCACACAGTCAAAAAAATGACTGTGTTTGTGCGGGTATCACCAGGGGAAGAAACAGACCCTCTGAAGACAGATGCCAGAGGCGATGGGGGAGGGCAAGGGTAGCCATGGGCTCTGCACTAATCTCACCTGCTCTCCGTGTGCTTGCACAAAGGCCCTCAGGAAGCTGAATGAAGCGGATATCCTGAGGAACTCTCTGAAGAATAAAGCGGATGTAATATCCCGCTTTGAAGATGCCACCTTCTTCAGCCTCAAAGGGGAGGTAAAGGGGAGGTGTGGAGGGATCTCCTGAGTGATGGAGCTGGATGCCTTCCTCGGATGCAGTGGACAGGAGAGCTCTGGCATCTCTGGCCACTGGCAGATCCCTGCAGTCTCTTGGGCATCTAGTCCACATCGGAATGTTTCCCTTTTCCTGGGCAGGTCTGCTGTGCTGTGGGACGCATGGAGCTGGCAAAGAAAATGATCAGAAAGTCTTTGAGCCTGCTTGGAAGGCCATTTCCCCGGAACCGCACTGAAGACTTTGTCAGGTCTCAGGTGGAAAAATTACAGTGTGCCGCTTATGTTGCCAGAGGAGCATCTTCCCTTCCACAGAAGGCCCAGTAAGAAACAGGACCAAGAACCCAGGGGAGAAAGAGTTATTTCCTACCTGGTCACAGGCATATGGGCACAGACCTGACGAGGCTTGAGGCCACACAGAGCGATGTGAGGATAGAACAGGGAATGATAGAGTTCCTCCCTCCCTCGCTGTGAGGCCCTGGGAACAAAGCATACCTTAGGGTATCAAAGCAGCTTGCAGCCAGGGATGATGGATTGGTGCTGGCTGGGAACAGAGAGCTGTACTGAAAAGGGGTGGGGGCTGGAGGCAGGACCAGGGCATGGAGAAGGAGCAGTAAGAGGAGCTGAGGTGTGAGAATCACAGAATCATAGAACGGTTTGGGTTGGAAAGGACCTTCAAAGGTCATCTAGTCCAGCCCCATTGCAATGAGCAGGAACGTCTTTGACTACGTCAGGTTGCCCAGAACGACATCCAGCCTGGCCTTGAATGTCTTCAGGGATGGTGTGTCTACAACCTCCCTGTGAGGGTGGTAGAACACTGTCAGTCTTTAACCACCCTCATTACAAAGAATTTGTTTCCTCACATCCAGCCTGTATCTCCCTCTTTTGGTTTAAAACCATCACCCCTCAACCTGTTGCAACAGGCCCTGCTAAAAAGTCTTTCCCTATCTTTCTTATAGGCCCCTTTTAAGAACTGAGAGGCTTCAATAAGGTATCCCCAGTCTTCTCCAGGCTGAACAACCCCAACTCTCCCATCCTTTTCTCACAAGAGAGGTGCTCCGTCCCTCTGATCATTTTTACGGCCCTTCTCTGGACCCTTTCCAACATGTCCATGTCTTTCCTGTGCTGAGGACTCCAGAGCTGGACACAGGACTACAGGGAGAGACTCAGCAGAGCAGAGTAGAGGGGCTCCCTTGACCTGCTGGCCACGCTCCTTTGAATGCAGCCCAAGATGCAATTGGCCTTCTGGGCTGCAAGTGCATACTGCTGCGTCATATCCAATCTTTCATCCACCAGTACCCCCAAATCCTTCTCCTTGGGAGTACTCTCAATCCCTTCATCTCCCAGCCTATATTGATACCGGGGGTAATGAGGAGGCTCAGAGGGTGATACCACTTTTCCTAGAGCCTCTGGGCCTAGCAATTTCTCTTGCTTGGCAGGAAGAAGAAGCTCGCCTGGCTGCTGCGGCAGAGCCGCTGTCTTTCCTTACTGGAGCACCTCTTCAGGATGGAGGGCACTTCTGTTGGATGGAGGCTTTCCTGCCTGGCAGCGCGCATGAGGGCAAGCACAGACAGGGCGGTGGACTTCTATCTGTCAGCAGCCTGCAGGAGCTACGATGCTGGCTTGGAAATGACCATATAGTTCATTAGCACCATCTATCTTACATTTGGAGAAAGATGATATTCTCCAAATATTTGCAGTACCACAAGAAGCAATACATACAAATTATTAAATATTCATGTGTCCCTTCACATTCAAAGATTTTTCAGCATGCAGCTGACTATTGCCTGCCTTAGAGAGACACTGCATGATTGTGTGAGATTTCACAGTAATATCTGCTTAAATTAACCATTGGCCCTAGAAAACACTCAGTTTAAATGCCTGCAGTGCACTCAGCTATGGGAAGCCAGCAACAAACCCTGGATTTTTCATAGTTGTGCATTTTATTTAAATGTATGGAGGAATATCTGAAGTGATAAGACGATAGGAGAAAGGTGTAAAATTCAAAAGGCTAACTAGCTTTTTAATGAGCAGAGATTCTCCCATCTGCCCTGGGGAGTTAGCTGGGGACATTTGAAGCATGCTGTTAAGCAAATTTAGTCAGGAAGATTAAATGGAGTATTTGGGGCTGGTTGGGTTGCTCACAAAACAGTTACTGATACTTTCCTCAGGATATGGACAAACTTCAAAAAGAGAATATCAGACCTTTTCCTGATTCAGGCACCCTCTCTTTCAGACCTAGGACATTAGCCCATTAGAGCAGTGCAGGCTACGTTCCTGAACTGATTCCTGCCTAGGGCAACATGTCTAGTTCACATCCCAGCTTATTTTTAATGAGGAAGTCCAGTGCTTTGATTAAACCAGGAAGTGGCACTGTTTGAAAGCAGTGGAAGTCAAGTCTGCTGTGCAGCTCCTGTAAAGGCAAATTCATAAATGGATAATCTGATGGAGCAGTGGGATAGAGTGCATGTCCTAATCAGCAAGGCTGCGAGTTACCTTTATGTGTCACTACACAGACTCTGAACCAGAATGCTGTAGGGGTGTCACTTCGGTTCAAGCTTTAGCAAAAGGCCTGTAATGGCAGGCCTGGTTTCTTCCACTTCTTGCCCTTTAGACTCTCTCACAGAGCACAGATCATTCAGAAGGGTCTTTCTTGCAGTGCCTTTGAAAGGCTTTTCCTCTTTCAGAAACTACAACGATGGCATATGAATACCCCAGGTTTTTCTCAGATCTTCTGGAAAGTCTTTTGATCTTTGCAAAAGGCTTAGAACTGTCAGGAATGCTCATGAGGGCCTAACACCTGTAAAACTAAAGATGTGCCTTGTGTTTTGCATGGTGATCTGGTTGTGCTGTTCAGTGCTGTTACATGTAATATGCAACACAGCACTGCAATACCTGTAAGGCATCAGACACTGACTTAGATGTTGTCTGAAAGAGAGAGAAGACATACTGCTTCAGCCCCAGGATATGTTTCTTTCACAGCTCCTCCTTCTGTGGGCCGCTGAGAAGAGCCTGAGTAGTCCCCAGACTGACACCAGTCACTTCCATGGTCATGTCTGTTCACTTCCTCTTTGACCTCTCTATGTAGTGTGATGGTAAACAGCCAATATGTGCCTGGTAGAAGGAAGGCAGCAGTAGGCTGGCCATAGCAGGGCAGTGATCATCCCCCTGCACTGGTGAGGCTGCACCTTGAGTCCTATGTTCAGTTCTGAGCCCCTCACTACAGGAGAGCTATGGAGGTGCTGGAGTGGGTCCAGAGAAGGGCAACGGAACTGGTGAAGGGTGGCTATTAAAGGAGGATTGATCGTTTTGCTTGTCCTCTTTGCCATCGTATATGTTGTACCTTGTTTGTTACAATGCATGCAGTGAATGTTATCCCAAGCTTTCGAGAGACATGTATATCCTGCATTGCTAAAACAAGAAGGGGGAACTGAGCGAGATGTAACAAGGAAAAGTTGAATCTGAGATGGTATTTCCGACCCCTGGAACAGTCTGAGGGGGATGCCCCAGGGCTGAGGTGCAGAAAGAAGGTGGAAACAAGGGAAAGGCTCTCTCGGATGAGAGAGGGGTTGAGGTGATGGGGGCTCCTGAGGGAAACACTGCTCCCAGATTTCCAGGAACCTGCAGGTCTACATTAGCTCCAACTGAAAGGGGTTTCCCCTAGCGAAAATGCTGTTCCCAGGGTTGTAGGTGGCTGCAGAGGTTCAGAGATGCGGTGTAGGGAGGGTGCCTCTCGCTGAGGAGAGTGTGTGGGGATGTGGAAGTCGGTGGAAAGGGTTGTGTGTGAAATAAAGGTTTTGGGAACCTGTGGAACAGCAGAAGGGGAAGGTTTGAGTGGGAGCCGGTGGTGTGGGGTGCTTTTGGGGGTAACTGGGGAAGGGGCTTGAAATGGGTTGGGGGGAAAGACAAAGCAGAGGGAAGAGCTGACCTGAACAAACAGCTTCAGGGAAGCTTCAAGCACAGCAAGACTCGCTGTGCCTCTTCCCTGTGCATTTTGCAGGCTGCATTAACCTTGATTATTGATCCAGTTCCATTTTTCCCATATGAAGGGTGAATATTGCTTCCCCAGGGAGCTGTTACCTCCCAGCAGCCAGTAAAACACCAAGAAAGTATGTTCAGAGGGAGAAATGGTTGGGTCTTGCGGCTCAGCAGGATCCCCTTTAGCACCAAATCCAAGCTATATTCATACCTTTTGGGGTTCCCCCCGTTGCCCTCTCCCCCTTTAACTTCCCTAGCTGGTTTCTTTATGATTTTTAAGAAAATGACTTAGGTTGGGTTTAGGGCATTCCTCCGTTCCAGTTTGAGTGTTAGCCCATTCCATCATCCTTCACTGTAATAACTGTATTTTGTGGTTTAAGCTGAGCCTGTAACCCGGAACCACAGAGCCGCTAGCTCGTTCCTCCCCATTCTTCCTCCCCCTGCTCCCCTGAGCTCACCTAGTTTTGTCAAAGTTCATTCTATGTTGGGATGATGATCAGAGGGAAGTCAGGGTCAGTTGATGGTGATGTCAGGAGAATTCTACTGCTGCTGCTGGCTTTTCCCATGACTTTATTCTCCGCTGATGAGCATGACAGCACATTTCTTCTTTTCAAAGCCCAGGGTGGTGGGGACGTGCATCCAGCTGATGGGCTATACAAGCGTCCATACAGGCACTGCAGCTGGACCTAGAGTTCTGCAGAGGCATGAATCATCAGCTGCTGGTGCAGCTGCAGCACCAGGAGAGCACAGCGGAGCAGCAGCAGCAGGAGTTTGTCTTTGTGAGACAGCAGTGCCAGGTGGTGATGGGCAAGGTACTGCTGAAGGGTGGCACAGGCCAGGCTGAAGGAGTCCCCAACCCTTGGCCATGTGCTTACATCTTGGGCAAGGCACCATGCCTGCCCAGCAGCCTGCATGTGGGAACTGCTGGTGATCAGTGCTCAGGGACAGGCAGGATATATCCTGCCAGCCACATGTGGGACGAGTTAGCACCTCACCCTGTATGGAGCACCCTAGACATGGGGCAGGCATGGCTGGCATGGCCCAGTAGACCCAGCTGAGCAGAGCTGAAAGACTGCAGCTCCTAAGGGCCCCACTGACACTCTGGGCACCATCCCAGTGCTGGGCACCCACAGGTCAGTGATGCACCTCTCCCCAGGAACAGAAGGATGAGGCAGTGCAGACAGAGGTCACCTTTGATGTGGCTGCCCATGGCCATGCGGACACCAGCTACAACATCCTGGAGAAGCACACACTGGTGCTGGAACAGGTAGGTCAGTGCTGGCAGACAGGGCCAGACAGGGGCCAGCACACAGCATACAGCAGTGCTGCTCACATAGGCATATGTAGATGCGG